ACCCAATGTAGTGAAATCGAGTACCAAGCTGAACTCTATGTTGATTTTGACAAAATAAAATATGTTGTTTGCAAAATATGTTCACAACAGTTTACCTTAATCTTGTGCACCATTTTTCCATATAACGGGCCAAAACGATGTGGTGCATTGGTTGCATTGGTTCATTCGTTTCATAGGATGGTTTTCTACTTGCATCGACGATAAATGTGAGGTCAAAAATTAAATATTTTTTGAAACACTAACCTTTAAAAAAATTGTAAATAATTTTTCAAAATTCAATCATTTTTTGAAAAATCTCAAATATTTTCTAGAAACACCAACATAGTTTGATAAACAAGAAAGAATTTCGAAATTTTGAGAAAAATTTGAAAACACGAACATATTTTGGGAGTGTGAACATTTTTAAACTTCAAATAAAATTTGAAAATTCGAACATTTTCTGGGTTTGTGAACAAATTTGAAAAAAAAACATTATTTGATATTATGAACACAATTTTAAAACACAAACCTTTTGCAAAATTTTGAACATTTTCTAAGCATTACTTCTATTTCTTAACAAAAATTGAAAATGTTAAAAAATATCAAAAAAGCTGCTTTTTTGATTATTTGGAACAATTGTTTTTATTCCAAAACAAGTATAACCCAAATAAAAAACTTGACCTTCTGAATTTTTTAAAAAAATTAACAATGTTTCGGCGCTCGCACGGCAGTGTAGCGGGCCGGCCCAGGAAACGCAACGGGGCGCGACAAAGGTCGGCCTATCGCAGAAAATCCTCGAATATACAGTAGAGCCAGGATTCAATCTCTGACCGCCTGTACCTAAACATTATACCATAGCCAATAGGCCGAACTCCCTTGTCTGTTTATTTTGAGGACAAATAAGCCTTATTACAAACCCAGCCTATTATGCGCGCTATTTTATGAGAAAATGAAAAAAAAACTGAATGCACATTATAAAAAACGTGAATTTGAGAAAAGTTCAAGAATTTGAAAAAAGTTCACAAAATCTAGGATAAACTTCATGAAATTACGAAAAAAGATCACAAAGTTGGAAAAAAGTTCATCAATTTTCAAAAAAGTTCACAGATTTTGAACAAACAGTTCACCAATTTTAAAAAAGTTTGTTGATTTTGAATAAAAAAGTTCAGGAAATTTGAAAAAATAGTTCAATGATTTTGAAAAACATTCATCGGTTTTGAAAAAGTTCATCAATTTGAAAAAAGTTCACCGAAATTAAAAAAAGTTCCTCGAATTAGAAAAAAAAAGTTCATAAAAAAGTTAAAAAAACTTCATCAAACTTTAAAAAGTTCATAGAATTTCAAAATAGTCCATAGAATTTGAAAAGGTTCATTGAATTTGAAGAAAAACATCAAATTCGAAAAAAAGTTCATTGAATTTTGATTTTTTTTTTTGCATTTTTAAGAAATACAAAGAAAAAGAAAAGAAATAGGAAAGTAAGGGGAAATAAAAAAAAACAAAAAAAATAAAGGAAAAAAAGAAAGATGTAATCTCGATTTCACAACGTACTTGAGCAAGAATAGAAAGCAAAAAAAAAAGTATTTAAGCCACGAGTGTGAAGGTGGCTGAGTGGTTAGTGGTGTTCTGTGCGATTCTTCAGGTCGCAGGAACCGCCGACGCTACACCTATTTTTGAAGTTAGCGGGAAAAAAGGAAATATAGGCCGACCCAATTAGACGCGTGAGAAAGCTGGATCCGGCTTGCCTGCTCCCTCCTCATGCTCCCATCCGTACTCCCACCTCATCCTACGGGCCTTAGGATGGTGGCTGCACTGGACCTTGGTCATTTCGCCATCAGGATCCCAACATTGGGCCTTAGGATGTGAACTCTGGCGTTCAAAAGTAGAAAACCCTATGCATCATGAGAGCAACTAATTAACGAGCGTTCCTTCAAAAGCCTTGCAACGATCACTTAAGGTGTGCCGAGAGCACACTATTTGACGTGCTCTCGGTCGCTGTCACATGTCACGCCCTGGGGGCTTCTTTCAGATTTATTTTATTTTTTCGCACGTGTTTTCTATTTTTTAGATGTTTTTTTAGTTTTTTCAACATTTCAGTTTTTCACCGGGCTTTCTTATCTTTACGATACAAAAAAGAATTTGTGCGAAAAACGAGTTTTTTTGCTTCCTTAAGAGGGATGGTTTTGCTTTCACGAGAGGTATGGTTTTGTTTCCGCGAGAAGCACGGCCGTGCCTCTCAGAAACGAAAAAAAGAGATTTTTTCTTCTTCTTTCGTTAGAGGCACGGTTTTGCTTCCGCAAGAGGCACGGTTGTACTTCTCGGAAACGAAAAAGAAACGTGATTTCTCTTTTTTTCGCGAGAGGCACGGTTTTGCTTCCTTGAGAAGCACGGCCATGCCTCTCGAAAAAAACGTGTTTTCTCTGTTTTTCTTTCATGAGAGGCACGGTTGTGTCTATTGGAAATGAAAAAAAAATGCACTTTCTCTTTTTTATTTTTCCGTGAGAGGCATGGATTTATTTCCACAAGAGCACGTCCGCGCCTCTTCAAAACGGTTTCCGGGAAGGAAAAAAAGTGCTCCCGGTTCGTTCTTTCGTCTGATTTTTTTGTCAAAAAAAGTCCGTTGAAACCTCCCAATGTGAGATCTAATTTTGAAGATATTGACGTGAGGAATCCAACGGGGAAAATGGTTCAAAATTTGGACGCGTGATTTAAGAGTAAAATGTTTTGAATAGACGGATCTACGAAAAAGAAAAACTCCTAGGTTGCGACAAGTGGTGTATATGCAATGTGCAACATGCAACGTGCCACTTGTTACATCGTAAGGAGATAGGAGCGATGTTTGGAAGGAGTACTCCTCAATTAGTGATTTTGACGTGTTGCTCGTTGCATCTACCCCCGCATCCCTAGCAATGGGCCAGCCCATTATACCAAAGCTGGTCAGCTGGTTTTGGAAACCTTCTAAGGGCCAGTTCTTTTCACCTCTAGCTTACGCAGAAGCCACTGTGGAAATAAGCTCCTGAGAAGCCGTGGTGGAAATAAGCCCAGTCAAAATAAGCCATCTAGTTCTTTTCAGCCTTTGTCCCTTCAGCTTATTTTCTATGAACCCAGTGAAAAGTCTGTAATACCACAACACAAAATTCATACACGAGTTCGGTCATACATATACACGTACACAACAGTGAGTGACATGCTCGAGAACTTGCATCACATGCCGAATTGGAAAGAAGTACGTAGGAGAAAGATAAAAGGATAGAAGGTGTTGACCTTGGCAAGAGCTTGGACATGGATGATTAGACTGGAGCTCGGCATCAAGATCAGACTAGTATGGAGGACGGATGTGCAGCAGGGCGGGAGCAGCAGATGGATGGGTGAAGGCCGACGATCCCGACGTTCGAGCAGGCTAGGGATGTTGGCTAACCTCCCTGCATGACATCGGAATGGGAGGGGCGGCTAGCTTGACAAGAGGCGACGGCGAGGAAGCCTAGCAGACGCACGGAGCAATGATGGACGATGTTGGGGTTGTGTTTTTCACGGGTGGCATTTCTCTTATAATAACTGCTAACAGCGAGGGTGTAGAGATATACTGGTTCAATTTTTAATGGGCTGCGCTCGGGAAGCTGCTCTCGGGTGGCTTCTCCCAAATATGAACGGACCAACTTTTGCTGGAAATTAAGCCGAACACTGAAAAATGAGTTTTTTTTGGCTTGAGCTTATTTCCCACCATAAGCCATCCATAAGCCAGAAAAGAACTGAGCCTAAAAGGTTCATTGAACCGCCTTTTGTTCCTTTTTGACCGCTTTTCCTATTTCTTCTTGGGTTTTTTCCTTTTTTCTGTTTCTTTTTCATCTTTCTTTTTTCTTTTCTGTTTGTTTTTCTGTTTATTTTTTCTTTTCAAGTTTATTTAAAAAAATCATCTTAGGATTTTTTGGATTTCTTTCTAAAAATCGTGTTTTTACAAAATGTTTGAAATTTTAAAAAATGTTCATATTTTATTTTTACAACACATGCGGTAAAAACAGTTTCTGAATTTCAAAAAGAATTTGAATGTCTTTGTTCAAATCTTTGACAATTTTCAAAAAATGTTTCTGTTTTAATTATTTTTTACAAATAAAAAAAAATAATGTTTTTGTTTTTTCAATAGTTTCAAAAAATGTTCACAAGTTCAACGGGGAGGCGGAGGGACGGCGGCGTGCGGCGGCGGCCAGTATGGCGAGCGGGATGTGCGGTCACTGATTTGTGGGCCAGCGAGCGGACAAAGCGTACGAGAGCAACCAGCGAGAGCGTCCGTTTGTGCCCGCGTAGACGCATTTCTCGCCCAACTTTGCTCCAAATTTGGGGTCGGGCCGGACCAAAACGGACATCTGCGGACAACTTTGTCCATTTGGGGTCTAGCGTTGGGCCGTGTTTTGCCCCAACGTGTGTCCGGCGGACAAGATAGGGTCTTGCGGTGGAGTTGGCCTAAGCAATGCCACCTCGCACGCGTCGTCACCCCGCGTGAGATATGCCGTCCATGCTCCTACAGAAGCGAACCTCGTGTCCACTGTCCATTGCCGAGCCCATCGGCGTCCCGCCGTCCGCCGCGGACAGTCACGGGCTCACGGCCGGCCGAGGAGGACACGCCAGCCTGCCTGCCTGCCAGCGCATCACGCTTTGGCGCCTCGCTGCCGTGACGTGGCCTGGCTGACTGGTGGGCCCGCCCGCCCACGTTGACCCCACCGCATCACCGGTGCACCACCAACGACTCTCCCTCCCACCACCACCCGACTCCCCCAGCTGAGATATTCGCGGATCCCGGCTACAGAAATTTCCCCCAAATCTTCCTCCCCTCCTCCTCGTCGTCTTCTTCTTCTTCTTGCCCGGGGACCTTCCAGAAGCTTCTCGAACCGACCGACAGGCCGTGGTGCGCATCTCTCCCACTATCTGGCTCAGGTTTCTTGCCTCGGCTCTCGATTTTGTCATAGCATTCGCTGTTCCCGTGGTGTCTGTAGCCGCGGGCGGGTGGGCGAGATCCGGTTGCGGCGGCCATGGTGAAGGAGACCGCCTACTACGAAACCCTGGGGGTCAGCGTCGACGCCTCCCCCTCCGACATCAAGAAAGCCTACTACGTCCAGGTGATTCATGATTCCTTTGCACCACTTGTCTCCAGCGTCTTATATCAATACTAGGCTCATCTCCCCTGCTGAATCTGAATCTGAATCGGCGGGTTTGTATGCGTTTCAGGCCAGGCTGGTGCACCCGGACAAGAATCCCGGCAACCCCGACGCGGCGCGCAAATTCCAGGTGCATTTTCGCCGCCTTCTCTTCGGTCTTCACCCAATCACCCCTGCGATGTTCTGTCAGTTTATTGTGGAACAAGCGAAATTGCGTGGTCATGTGAATATAATATTTTAGATGCGTGTATGTAGTTAATCCCATGGTTTGAGTGTAGATTGGAGCTAATTTTTTTTGAGGAACTCTGGACATAGGGGAAAGGCTCCCCACTGTCTTTCAATTGGAGCTAAATTTTTTGTTAGCCATAGTCTAATTTTTTATCCCAAGGAAGTGAAGTTAGTTTAGCCAAAGTAACCAGGTATATAGTCTGATGATCAATTACCAACTAAACAGATGTTCAGTGCGAGCACATTTGGAATACATGTTTCACTCCGAGCACGCACGCTCATTTCATGATAGGGGTGTTCCATGCTGAGTAGTGCTTGTGTGCTCTTCGATTTACATGTTGAATCTATTAACTGTAAGCGTCTCTATGGCGTCAAGTGCCTCTTTACATGATAATGTCCACTTGTATAATCATTGAGAAGCTTGCTCTTAACAGGATCTCGGAGAGGCCTACCAAGTCCTAAGCGATCCAGCGAAGAAGGAGGCTTATGATAAGCATGGAAAGGAGGGTCTTTCCCAGTAAGTCATGGATTTCTTTGAGTTCTAGAGTTGTAGTAAGTAACTGGTATTTTTCTTAAAAGGGCAAAACATAGCTGCCCCTAAAAGTCTAGAATGATGAGAGGAAGGCTTGGGGGTATCTGCGGACGGTGAAAACGGGAGTTGATTTAAGATGGCCTCTTGAATTTATGGATTGTTTAGACTGAACTATCTGACTGTGAGCATAGAACAGTGTTATGTTGTGGTTTGTTTATGGTGAGAGAACAAGAGGATTACACTGAGAAAAAGGCTTGGGAGTAACTGAGGACGGTGAAATTGGGAGTTGATTTAAGATGGCTTCTCAAATTTATGGATAGATAGATAATATATGATGACTAAATAGCTATATCAGAACAAGATGCCCGATTTAGAAAACAGGAACAACATAAGTAGCTACTCTCTAGACTCTACTTATAGCTTTACGCAGAAATAACTTGCCAATTTGCTTCATCGTGCTAATGTGCTGTGGATTCTCTTCTTACTCAGTTAATTAATGTGGCATTTAGGGATAACATGGTTGATCCTGCTGCTGTATTTGGGATGCTTTTTGGAAGCGACTATTTTGAAGATTATGTTGGTCAGCTTGCTCTGGCATCCATCGCTTCAGTGGAGGTTGATGAAGGTTTAAGCAGTCAAGATGCCAGAGCAAAGGTTCAAGATAAGATAAAAGTATGTTATTCTTTTTGATTGAGTGTGCTGACATTATCATTCAGCTTAGGTTGTGCCACGCCGATGCAGAAATTAAGCCCAAATAACTTTCCTCTGACACAGGAGTTGCAAACTGAAAGAGAGAAAAAGCTTACTCAGAGCCTAAAGGATCGACTTCAGCCATATGTGGATGGTAGAAAGGATGATTTTGTGCACTGGGCGAATGCAGAAGCCAAGCGTTTATCAGAAGCAGGTATATCATGTGAACTTGCAATAGTGGGCCTTTTATTGTGGTCCATTTTGTTTCCTGTAGATGCTTCATTTACATATTTTCCCCTCAAGAAATCAGTTCCACTTTTATCATCATAGAAAAAAAATCCATAGTCAAGGGACATAAAACCCTTTATTGTACGAGGAATCTTTGGTAGTTGGTAGAACCATTTTTCAGTTAGCCTTCTCAAGTTGTTGACTTGCTTGCAACCATTTTTCAGCTTTTGGTGAGGCTATGCTTCACACTGTTGGATATATTTATGTAAGGCAAGCGGCAAGAGAACTTGGAAAGAGTAAATTGTATATGGGTGTACCATTCATAGCTGAGTGGGTAAGAGACAAGGGTCATACCATTAAATCACAAGTTCATGCTGCTTCAGGTAATTCTAAGCCATTGTTTAGTTATTTGTTGAATGTATTAGTATGTTGCTCTGATACAACTATTGCTCGTTACAGGTGCTATTGCTCTGATGCAGCTACAAGAAGGAATGAAAAAGGTGGAGGAGGGTGCCGACAAGGAAGAGCAGCTTATGAAGAGTTTTGAGGAGAAAAAAGAAGCCATGCTTAATTCTCTATGGAAAATTAATGTGGTCGATATCGAGTCAACTCTTTCCCGAGTATGCCAAGCAGTAAGTTTGGCTTTTTCCATATTTTTGTCACAATTATTTTGTGAAAGCTTATCTTTTTAAGCTTATC